TCAACGAAGTACGTGGTCTTATCGCTAATACTCAACGATCTATTCTCGAAACTTACGTTGATATCATTGGAGTTAGCTAACTCAGACATTCCGATGTCCAACACAGTTACATCTTCTATCAAATGCTCGCGCCAATAGTGATTTGGTTTCCTAGCAAAGGTGATTAATGTCTCTCAAAAACTTCGCTAGAAACATTGCGCGAAGCGCCTTAGCTCCAAAACCTCCAATCAATCCATGGCTCATGGCGTTTAAAAGCCAAGCCGTTCCTAAGAATAAATCGTATCTTGAGTACGTTCCAAGGACCATACAGCGCATAATGCTATCAAAGTCCAAAAACTTCGTACCTGAGTTTAATAAAACTTTAGGTACAGTGACACGGCTTTCAGGCGCTAAACGAACCGTGATTAAAGCACTGCATGTGCTGTAGGCACCTCAGCATATCGCTGACTTCTTTCGAAGAAAATAAGTCGCGCATAACTGCAAGAATGCTCAAAATCTTTTGTATTTTCAAGGCTTTCAAAAGCCTTTAACTTTCGTCTCAGCGGCTAAAGATCCAGATCTGTCTTCGCGCGCCATACCAGTAGGTATGTAACTCTTTAAAGATGAGCCCTGTTCAACTGTACTTTATTAGGATGTTACAGAACCTAGTTCCTCCTCATTATGGTGCCCCGCGCTTAATGGGTGTCAAATATTTCCTATGCAATGCCAGACTTCTGGCTCGGGGTAGAGTGTTGTCTCGTTGCCTGGCGCTGTCTGCTTAAAGTGAATCCAGTACGCAAAGTTTAGTGCTATTGCTAGCATAGCACCGTCGTACAGAACATTGCTGCTCAGCAGCTTGAAGTTTAATATCACCTTCATCCATAGTATAGCTAGAGTTCATCGGCTCCGTCCTATCAACATCCGGAGTAATCGTGGAGTTGCTCTTGCAGATCTAGGGTTTTACCCATTCCAGGCAAGTCTTGCCGACTTAATTTAAAGCTCAGCATTTAGAGATATTTTACAGTGTTCGAATTTTTGGGGGTGTGCCCGAAAGACTTCGTTTCTGACAATGCCAGTGCGGATACCGTCTATAAACATAGTCGCATGTAGTTTCTCAGGCAGAGGGTTAGACTGTGTAGCATCCATGAGAGTTCTTATCCCTTAAACATAGCCGTTAACTCATTTTTACCCTGAATAATAAAAAGAAAAAATTTGAACGCTCGCGGTAAGCTTGGTTAGGTGGTAAAAACATTTGCATTAACTTTGACTTAAGCGACTCGCATGTGGGAAACACTAAGTCGATCGACGTGTTACGTCAAGGCCCATTCTCCAGATCTGTTATTGAGCTCAGAGATATCCAGCGAGACCTGTTAATAGTCAATCTTGATCAGGCCTGATCTCACAGGCATATCAATCTCACAGATCGAGAGAATGAAAGCTTCATCCTCTTTTCCTGGGTAGTTTTTAATTTCCACTATAAGTAAACGAGGACTAACCTCTTCGTCTGAAACATACACATAGCGTTTAGGCATATCCGACACCATTTGTTATGAAGCCTGCCGTGTAAGGGACGCTTTGTGCTGCAAGAAGTTCTTAACATGTGCCGTCAGCACCCCCGGGCCTTGCGATACAAGCAATTACACATACTCTGGACAAAAAGATGCGGTCAGTCTCTCAAGCGCGACCTTCATGAGCCTCAGAGAGAGAAGTAGGGTTTTTCACCCTCACAGAAAATAAGTCTTTAGAAATCAGGCGTCGATTGAATACAAATGCTACCAAGTGTAGCGGAGCTACACAGCAACTTAAGTCATGGGAAGACATATTACTCAAATAGCGATTTTAATAGTAGAAAATTAGACTCTATGAGTCAACGAGCATAAAGCTTAGGGATCCTGTTCCAGGGGACCGAACGATTTAGTGAATTTATAGCACTCAGTGCTCAAGAGTAGATGCCTCACGGAGGTGTTGCTAACTCTAACGATCAACGATCAGATACGCCTAGCAAGGCACGTGTCTTAGACAAGATCAAAGGGGAACTGAACTTTATTTACGTTTAACTCTACAGAATATCTTTATCGTTATATTGCCTAATCTAGGCCCACACGTCCTAAATTAATATCCATATGATCATTCCTATCTTGTGGCTGACACCCGTCAGCCTCTATAAACCGGCAAGATTTTCTATATCTCTCTGTGGGATACCATCCCGTGTGTCTAAGACACAGGGTACCGAGTACCCTACGATGTGTAACCTCAATAAGTAATACTATTAGTAACAAAAAAGGTTTTGTTGTTGTTTCCTGTTCCAGGAACTTGCCCGGGGGACCTTAAAATGATATGGATCAACTAAAATCTTTTATTCGTGAAATTGATGAAAAACTATGGTCTGTTTTATCTAAAAGACCATGGAAGGCAACGGTATTCGTCAGATGTGAGCTCGACGTCGCGGTAGACACAAAAGAATGTGGAAGTCATGGATTCTTCCCCCCCCCGCCCATGCACGAGGCAATCTTTTTTTGAGCACTCGATACGGTATCCCCCTTCCTCTTATAGTCCATAACCTAGCCTCTAGCCGCTTATCGATTCAGTGTTTCGATGACACGTCTCGCAATGGAAATTGGTATGCAACACGGCGATCGATGGCAAGATCATCTTATGGCATTGTAGAAGTGCGAATAGTATGGCCTGCACGTTACCATCGATGCAAGCATAACAATTATCGAGATTATTTGATTTTTTTAATTAGAAAGTGCAAAAACTTCCACACAGAGAAACGAATACCTAATTTCTGTAACTTTTAAACGTGAATTGCCTTTGGGTGCCCTTTAAGGTGTCTGAAATGTTGAAGCGTAGTAAAGCTACACAGCTCTTCGTCATAGAAGACTTACGACTTTAGAAGACACTTAGTTCTACGGAAATACGCTCCTATTTGTAAAAAGATTTTCCAGTTTTTGTAAGTAATTAACTAAATACTTGGAGAGTCTTCAAGCTCGTAAAGCTTCTATTCATGATTAGAAGGACCATTAACGATCTAAGAATCGTACACACATTGTACTCTTAAGAATACGCTATTTAATGCCGTGAGTCTGTCATTTGTTTTAAGCACTAGACCTTTGTAAACTAAAGTATTAACGCAAAGTTTGATTGGTTCGTAAATAGCACCATAAGAAGTAAAGTATAGAAATACTCACCAATTGGCATACATGATGGACCATATCAACCAGCTCTAGAAATCTATTAAACGATGGACGCGCGCAAGATTTTAGCATACATTCGTGTCGATAGATATGATAAAGGTATGACTTAAACATAGTCTAATAATTAGGCCTTGATTGTAAATTAAATCGGTTTTTCATTCACCAGCAACTAGTCAGTCTCCAAGTTGTTTTTTCTTCATCTGCCTGATTACAAAAGTAGCGAGGCACCTCTCACGCTATTATTGGTAAGATTTGCCCCACACTACTTGTCCAATGTGTTGCTCCGGCGCCCTTTTTCACTCAGTAGCACGTTGTAGTCCGTGAAAGAACCTCAAAAACCGGTCAGCACGAGCACGTTAGACGATCAAGGCGACGATATATTTCAAGGAGCCCGTAAAGCTTTTTTTAGTAATGTCGAATGGAGTAGGATAATCTGAATAAGTTTAACCGTTGGCAAAAAATCTGCCTGATCTTTTCCCTTCTTTAGGGAAAGGGACCAGCAGCATTCAGTTATCGATAAGTTCTTGCAGCGAGAACTTGACGCGTCACGAGTTAAACAAAACTGCTGCATCAGCAAGGCCATCATCAGAATGAGATCCTGAGAAAGCAACAGTTTCAGTACGCTTCTGTAGTGTCGACGCGTGAATGTTGACATAATACTCTAAAGTAAGACGTCTCCAAGAACCATCCCGAATCTTTAATCACTCGATCCGAAAGTGTTTGGTATGTTGGCGGTCTTTTAATCTCTGCTCAGCCAAACTTTTGAGCCTCCAAGATCTAATTACAGAGCTATTTCACAGCTCCTTGAGATAAAGCAAGGTCAGCGTGACGTTCACGCTTACTCTCAGCACTTTCGTTACCATGCAAATTGCAAAGTAACAAAACCTTTTAATGAATCCGTGTTGATTCAAATTTTCTTACGGGGACTTTTATATGGTCCTGTGAGAAAAAACTTGTTCCGCATCGAGTTACAGTCGCTAAAGGAAGCAATTACAACTGTGGAGCAAGTAGACTTAAGTGTTAAGACAGGCTTTAACTAGCTTGACTCCCTATCGTCCTTTGGGACGAGTGGAGGCAAAAGGTCTAGATCTATTGGAGCTCTGCTGTGTCGAAAGCAAGATATCTCCCTTTTCAAACATTAAGCGATTGCAAAAGTGCAATCGTTGTCATAAGCTAGGACACTATGCCTACGATTGTAGTGCTACACGCTTGGAGTCTCGAAAAATTAAGCGAAGCGATTGACCGTATGCCAATAAAGGCAACATTTGTGGGTCCTACAATGTTGCAAAGTCACAACAGCGTGTCGGACCGTTAGAAAAGGTCAGGTCAGTACGTGTGGAGTGTAACGGGGTGAATCGTTACATAACAATTTATAAGAAATTGTCAATAGAATATAACTATAAGAGTAATATTCTTAGAATATTGTCATAAGGACAAATATTCTGTAGCACTTACGAGTAGTTCCTAATTGGTTGATATAGGCATATCAACCAACGAAGACGCGCCACGACAGACGCACGCAATGAGTGGTGAGCAGATAGTAGATATGCACATTTGTATTCAGACATAGTAAGATGAGGATAAATAGTGATTTGTAAACAGACATTAACTATGATTAATACAGTTCTACTTTTTACTTAAACTAAGTACTCGCTTCTTCTACCGTCTTCCTCTGCACGTACCAGTGTACGTGAAGTTCCGAGGCATCGCCTTATTCTGTCATCAGAATAAGTAGCTTGTACTGTCATCAGTACGAGCTTCAGGGTGCCCCGTTACACCTGGTAGCACTTCGTAGTCCGTCCAAGGACCACGTTCACATCTAGCATGAACATGTTAGATGATGAAGATGACCAAAGCTTTCACGCTACGCGTGACGGCTACTCCCATTTGAGCGACGTCGAATGGGATGCGGTTGAACGGATGAGTTCAACCATGGGCATCCATGCTGTTAGCGTCATGCTAGAGGCTCTCAATAGAGATGCCCAACATGCTACTATCGCCAATTTCATTCAAAATGAACTTGACGCTGAACGCGAGAAAGTAGCCTTGCTTCACCAACAAGGTTCTCAACAAGCAGAGTTGTTGAGAGAACAGGGTGCTCAACAGTTTGAACTGTTGAGACAGCAGCAGGCTGCTGCTGGTGGGTCGATGCACTCGCGTCGACCCGAGACCTTGAATGTTGACATCTCCAAGTATAGGGGAGTCGAAGAGGACTCCCTCTTGAGATGGTTTGTCGAATTGGATGACGCCATAAGGGCGCGTCGCGTCGACGACGGGGATATGCAAGTTGCATTTGCCCAGTCAAATCTGGCAGGACGTGCCAAGACTTGGGCACTGGGGCTCAAGTTGCACGACCCATATGCGTTTGGGTCGTTAGAAGTCTTCAAGTCGCGGCTCAGACAAACGTTTGAACCGCCTAGAGCTGAGTTCAGAGCTCGAACCGAACTCTTGAAGCTCAAGCAGTGTAAGCGTGATGTGCACGCTTACCCTGCTTGAGCTTCAAGAGTTGTATAAGTTCCAATCCGGTGTATGAACACACGTTGGTTTCGGTGTTCATGCAGGTCCTTGCGGATGGTCCCGTCAAGACTCACCTGTTCCGGCTTGAACTAGATTCACTAGAACAAGCCATTTCCATTGCGGAACAGGAAGACTTCAGTCTGAGACAGGCTCGCGTCATCTTGACATCTTATCGTCAACCGAGACGATATGACAGCGGAGGCCCAGAGCCGATGGAACTCTGTTACGTAGAGAGCGAGAAGGTTCGTTCTACAGACTACAAGAAGTTGCAGAGATGCAACAGATGTCAAAAGACAGGAAACTACGCTTATGAGTGTAGTGCCCCTCGTCCAGTGTCTCGCAACACTGGGCGTAATGACCGTCCACCCATGAGAAGGGGTCTGGGGCACAGGTCCGCAGTTGGTGCAAAGACGCAACAACGGGGTGGACCGCAAAAAACGGACAGGATCAGTAGTTGCGGAGCACCCTACTGGTCTAGCAACGTCAAGAGAATTTGTAGGCCTCTTGATGAAGGTTGCTCCCAACACACAAACGTTGTGCGTTGCTGCTCTAGGTAATGAGGTCTCACTCATTACCTTGAAACTCGAAGTGACGAATAAGTTGTCCCTTCGAGCTCTAGTCGATTGTGGGGCGTCCAACAATTTTGTGCGACGCCAATCGCTAGAAGATGGTCACTTTAAATTCAGTGAATGTGACACACCTCCTACGAGGATTACGGTACGTCTTGCGACAGGCGCATCCGTAACCGTCATGAAGCGTATAGTGAAGATCCACTATACGCTAGAAGATACCCAATATGACGATGACTTTATCGTATTGGATTTGGATGACAAATTTGATGTCATCCTTGGAATACCGTGGCTCAGAAGGTACGAACCACGGGTAAACTGGCAACATCGGACAGTAACGATGCCTGCCGCTTGTTCATCAGATGGCCATCTGATGAACGTTTTGGAGCGTCCACAAGCGTGTGGATGTACTACGAGTGAGTGCGATGGCCTCACTTGTGGTACGGTCGTTAGTACGACTGCACAAAACCTTAGTGTACCAAACGGTTACACTTCGGAGAAAAGTTCCGGCGGCTGTGAGGAAACACAGGCTGCGCCGAAGGTCCACCACTCGAATAAGTCGAGTGGACCGGGACAAAGATGTATCCCTAGCGGGGAACATCTAGAAGAGAAACAATCGATCGCTCAGGTTAAGCGAAACGATAATCCTAGATCGACTGGAGAGTCTTTCGTAGAGGATCTCGCTGTGGTTGCGCAACTACAGCTAGAGGAAGTAAAGGGAATAAGTCCCGATATTACAGATACGGCGGAAATAAGTTCCCCGAAACCCGAGGGAATAAGTCCCCGGGAAGCCGAAGGAATAAGTCCTTCGAGGCCTGAGGGAATAAGTCCCCAGGAAATGACAGAGACATTGAATGTCATAGTCAATAACGGATCAAGTGCAGGCGCTTATACACTTGATCTGATTGCGCCTCCGAAGTTAACTTCGGAGATCACTCAGTTGCCAACGCTCGAACATAAAAGGTTCTTGCGTGATCTGCGTAGTGGCAAAGTCAAGCAGATCTGCGTACTCGTCGCTGACGACGAGTGTGTAACCGACATAAGGTCAGCAACAGTGTTTACTGAGAACGAGAGAGTTCTCAGTAGTTCATCTATGGACGAGAGTGTCCTAGACGAAAAGACACGAATTGAGCGATATGACTCCCAATCGTGGGAATCGCTCAAGAAAAATCCTCTCTATGAAGATTTGGTTGAATTCAAGGATGTATTCCCTGAAACTGTTCCGTGCGAATTACCGAAGGATAAAGGTATTCGACACGAGGTCGAGATTAAACCAGGCTCGAAGTACTGTGTCATGAAGCAGTGGCCACTGCCTCGTGAACAAGTACTTGCGATCGACAAGTTCTTTGCCGATCGTTTAGCTGCGGGCCATGTGAGGGAATCAACTTCCCCACATAGCTCTCCGACCTTCTGTGTGCGAAAAGCAACAGGAGGGTGGCGGATAGTGCACGCGTTCAACAAATTGAACGCTGCAACGGTACCGGCTCAGACGCCGATACCGAGGAAGGACGTAATCATTAATGGTATGTCAAAGAGTACCATCTTTTCGTCCATGGATTTGATGGATGGCTTCTATCAAATTCTTATGCGAGAACGGGATATACTCTATACCGCAGTTAGCACGCCTAGCGGCATGCTCTGGGAATGGCTAGTAATGCCACAAGGGCTTAGTAATGCCCCTGCCACGTTCAACAGATTTGATACACATCTGTTGAGACCAGTACGAGAACTCGCGCCGAGTTATTTCGATGACGTATTCATCCATAGTCGGACTATGGATGGAAAGTCGGACGTTGAGGTTCACAGGTACCACGTCCGACAAGTTCTTACAATCATGCGAAAGCATCAATTGTATGCAAACCTCAAGAAGTGTATATTTGCAGCAAGCGAAATACCACTTCTTGGGTGCATCGTTGGTAAGAACGGTGTACGTCCTGATCCCGAAAAGATCAAGGCGATCACCGACTGGCCTGTGCCGGTTGATGTCAAAGATCTTCAAAAATTCTTGGGCTAGCGGCGTATTTGCATAAGTATTCACGCAATTACGCCGAGATGACTGTACACCTCTCTCGTTTGTTGAAAAAGAACGAGAGGTGGTTATGGAACGCTGAATGTCAGCGCTCCTTTGATGGTATCAAGCAGAGCTTGATACAATCCCCAGTCCTAGCAATAGCCGATCAGGACAGGCCATTTCATGTGGTCTGTGATGCCAGCGATTTCGCAATCGGCTGTGCATTAATGCAGTACGACCTAGAAGGCGTTGAACGCGTCGTCTGCTATCAGTCGCGTCAGCTGCAACCAGCTGAGCGGAACTATCCAGTGCATGACAAGGAACTCCTTGCCATGAAGTATGCACTCGCGAAGTTCAGAGTCTATCTATTAGGAGATAGACCCTTCATTGTTTACACTGACCATGCGTCGTTACGCACGGCAGTGAACAGCCCGCACCTTTCACAACGAATGGCGCGGTGGTTGTCATTCTTTGCAGAATACAACTTTACGGTAGAGTACAAACCAGGACGACTTAATGTCGTCGCTGATGCACTCTCACGTCGTCCCGACTTTGAAACAGTCGTGAAACCCAACAGTGAGACAGTCACTGTTGCGGTTATGACGTCCTCAGTCCCATCTACAACGTTGTATGATGAAGTGAGGCGGGCATACGCCCAAGATGGTGAGATAGTGAAGTTGTTGACACATCTCTCCCAACCATCTCGAGAATCGTTGAAACGATTGTCGTCTGCGTATCGATCTGCATCAGATCGATACACTACTCGCGACGGTTTACTGTATTGTACAGCTGTTACTGGTGACACACCACGTGTTGTCATTCCAGATGATACTGATCTGCGTTTGCGGATCATGTTCAAGTATCACGATGCTCCTATAGGAGGACATTGTGGCCGGGAGAAAACATATCTCACGGTGAGTCGAGACTTTTACTGGCCCCGCCAGTATCAGTTTGTGCGAAAGTATGTTCGCGCATGCGAAGTCTGTCAACGAGTGAAGTCAAGTCCTTCACTGCGTGCACCTTTACAGCCTCTACCGGTTCCGGCGGAGTGCTGGGAATCCATCTCAATGGATTTCGTCTTCGGGTTACCCAAAGACGCACGCGGGAATACGGATATTCTCGTATTTGTTGACAGATTCAGCAAAATAGTACACCTTGTGGCTGTACCAGAGTCAATCACGGCAAGTGGCTGTGCTTGTGTCTTTATTGACACCCTCTTCCGACTTCATGGGTTGCCCCGTGAACTCGTATCAGACAGAGATCCACGATTCACTGCTGATTTCTGGCGTTCCGTGTTCAAATCACTCGGAACGCGCTTAAATATGTCGACATCTGATCATCCAGAGTCAGATGGTCAGAAGGAACGTGCCAATCGTGTCCTCGAAGAGATACTTCGAGGATACGTACACTCCTTTAAGAGTTGGAGTGAGTTTTTGCCAAAGGTAGAGTTTGCCATTAACAACTCGGTGCATGCGTCCACGACACATACACCGTTTTACGTGAATGGCTTGCGCCATCCGCGTGTACCCACCTTACTAGAGTGTAACTCTGGTTTAAAGGGGGGAAGGGACTCGCGCGAGCAAAAAAAAATCGATTTGGTTCACGCTCATCACGCTCTGACGAAGAAGTCATTGCGTTTGATGCCGATATCGATAACATCGATATCGAAGAAGATGATGCCAGTGAGAGTGCGGAAGCCCTCACTGAAGAAAAGGTTGATGTTGCTGCAGTGCGCTCACAGCACACTGAAGCTAACGAGTCATCATATGAGTTCATACTGGCTCGTGAAACGGTAGTCCGTTTTGTGCAAGACTCCATCGCCGAAGCGGTGGATAAGCAAAAGCAAAACGCTGACAAGAATGGAAGGGCAAACAATCTTTTATTTAATAAAGGTGACTTAGTCCTACTGTCTACGGTTAATCTACCAAAGCATGTAGTGACTAACTTGAGTAGCAGTAAACTACTACCCAAGTACATTGGCCCATTTCGTGTATTGCACCGCCTAGGCAATGCATACACGATTGAGTTGCCACGTAAGATGCGAACGCATCCCACGTTTTACGTTGGTCGGCTTAAGCCGTACCATCAGTACGCTGCTTCTTCCGATGAAGAACGCCCTTGCGCTCAAGCATCTCGCAGAGAGCCTTGTGCTCCCGATGTTGGGCATCAACAAGGGTCTGAAGAGCAGCTATCTCATCCCGAGACAGATCAACAATCCCACGAGATACCCTTAGCTCGTCACGAAGAGATGTCAGAGCTCTCGCGTTCTCAAGCTGAGCAAAGGCAAAATCAGCTCGATGCTTCGAGGCAGTGTCCGCCATTTGGAGACGCCTGTCCCGCTCATGTTTGAGATCGTCGCGTAACCCTTGCGTTACGCGATCAAAGAAGCTCTCAGGAACACACCGATCCCCATGATCGTGTGGAGAGCGTCTTTCCTCCTCCTCCACCTCCATTAGAGGACTCTCGCGGTGTCCAGCGCTATCTAGTTGAGCAGCTGTTGAACCACCGCGACGTGAACGGACGTCGGACGAGTTATCTCGTCCGGTGGAGCGGCTATCCCCCGTCCTGGGATTCTTGGGAACCCCGCTCCCAACTGATGATCGACGTACTGGGTCTGGTTGAGCAGTACGACGCGGCACATCCTGTGCCGCAGAAGGACCGCCGGAGAAAGTCTTCCCAGCACGGTCGTAAAGGGATTTCAGGCTGTCAATCCATTCGTACATCTCAGTAGAGATACGTACGCGCCACCACGGGCTATTAGGGAGGTAAGCCTCCTTAGGTGCTCGTGCAGAGTTGTTCACACAACATGGGCACGAGTCTCCCCAAGAGAGGCAGTGTAATCCTTTCTCCCTTGACAGACGATGCAGCATGTAGCGTGCACCTGTCGGGGTTCGCTTTTCAAACTTATCACGAGCTTTGATAAGTTTGTCGTTCCAAGCGTCACGACCTACATCCTCAAGGTTATGGATGTAGGCGTCCACGCTTGAAGTAGTGAGGGACCATCACGCTTGTGATTCCCACTGCACTATCGATGTCTAAGGAAAGCATTGATGAAGAACTCATTCTCAGTGTGATAGTTTTTCGCGCTGGGGTCAAGGTGATGGATCCTTGACGAATCGAACAACCGTGTTCGATAACGATCACTCGTCGTCGCCGACAAGTGATCCATGACGGATTTTGGAGGCATCCATGCCTTCTTCTCAGGAGCGAGACGCAACACATTGCGGTCCCGCTCTTCCTTCGACGTGCCGACAGAAGTACTGGCACCTCGCTGTGAAGTGGTGTCCGTAGGAGAACCGACACCACTTTTAGCGCCCGAGTCTCGCGACCTCGAGCGCCTTCGCTTCGGGGATGGTTCATCTGATTCATCAGATGAACCAAAGATGCTACGATGCATAGCATCATCCATGTAACGCTTGGCAGGCGGCTTGGATTCGATCGCCGTCGATACGGATCCGTCTTCCGTATCAGGAGAGTATGAGACTCCGAGCTCATACTCTGTGAAGACATGAGTGTCTTCATGACCAGCGCCTGCATCACCAAGTGACACAGGCTGAGTCGCTTCAGCAACCGATGAGACATTAGTTGCTGTGGGTTCTGCTTCGGCGTCCACACAGAGACGTGCGGACGCGCTCTCGGCGGCCTTGCTCGCGCATCGCAAGTGCTTGTTAACCATGCGATGAAATGTTGGAAAGTGGACTCGGACCAACAAGTGCAAACCCGGTCCCAAATGATTTGGGACGAGTATCCATTTAGTCAATCAGTCACTAAAGTGACTGATGGTTAAGGGGCGGTGATGTAACGGGGTGAATTGTTGCATAACAATTTATAAGAAATTGTCAATAGAATATAACTATAAATGTTATATTCTCAGAATATTGTCATAAGGACAAATATTCTGCAGCAATTACGAGTAGTTCCTAATTGGTTGATTTAGGCCATTGTGTCAACCAACGAAGACGCGCCACGACAGACGCACGCAATGAGTGGTGAGCAGATAGTTGATTTACACATTTGTATTCAGACATAGTTAGATGAGGATAAATAGTGATTTGTAAACAGACATTAACTATGCTAAATACAGTTCTACTTTTTACTTAAACTAAGTACTCGCTTCTTCTACCGTCTTCCTCTGCACGTACCAGTGTACGTGAAGTTCCGAGGCATCGCCTTATTCTGTCATTAGAATAAGTAGCTTGTACTGTTACCATAACAAGCTTCAGGGTGCCCCGTTACATGGAGCGATTTACCGATCCAAAAAAAAATTTGCAATTAAATTGATAAAATAACTCCAAGCTCACAAATTTTGTGTCTGTGCACTCGGTGAAGAGGTACTTCTCATCACCTTGACCTTAGCAAAATATTTTTCACTTCAAACTTTAATTGACTTTAAAGCGTCGAGCAACTTTGTTTTGTAGACATTCGCTGGAGGATCGCAGGATCAAGTTCGTTTAGAGAGATTTCCCTCCGATAAGGATGACGGTGAACCTTTTAACAGGCAGGAGATTCAAGAGATTATAAAGCCTTGCTCAATGAATGCTTTTTAACTGTCGGGACTGACTGCCAGCTAAAAGAGTAATATAATAATGAGGCCGCTCATCAGATCACAAGGTAGCGTTGATTTGACAAAGTATAAGCTCAACCCGCAAGAACAGAATGCTTATACCTGTTAGAAAATTAAACCTCCACGCAAAGTTCTTATCTCTCGTACACCTTAGCATTTTCAGCACTAATGTTGCTATTCTACTGAATGCAGCACAAAGATGGACACCACAAGAACTACGCGTTTGTGCAAGCGATTCGTTTAACTTTTTCTGGATGCGTTACATCTTAAAATTTCCTTCTGCACCTTTAGGTCGCTCTTTTAAATGCCGGCACCAACACGCGTCCCTTATTTTAAGTTACATTCTGTGCAGTTTATAATTCCATGTGACTCATTTTAATCTCGCTCACGTACTACACCAAAACGGTCATGTGGTGAAGTGGAATTTTCTCATTCTGCGAGGCGATACCAACTCTCCACTTGCACTCGTACGACCGACTAACGGACGAGGTGCTACGGACTATGTAAATTGTCTTATTCCATCTCACCTTGTGTACTTGTCGGCCGGCGAATTGCACTCTTCTAGGTGGATTGAGGTCGATGTTTGCCTTGACCGAGCCGGGGATAGGTGGGGTGTGGTCGCATGGGAATTCTTCACACGACTAACAATTACTTGTGGCGCTCCCAGGAGTCAGTCACTATGACCTTCCTGGTGTTCGCCTTGCCCAAATGTGGATAATTATCCCCTTGTTCTTCTGACCACTTGATCAGCTTATTCCAACGATCACTTGAGATGTCAGAAGACCTTGCCTGCACATGCTTGCCCGGTCCTATCGCGGGCTAACTTAAAGAGCATCTACATTCTTAGTCGAGCAATCTAGGGACTAACTATTAACCAGCGCGCGAAGCAGTAAACATTGAACGTCGGGTGGCCGCCATTATTACAGCCCGAAGGGATGCTGACGTGCGTCTTTTGTTTGGAAAATAATTCTGTTCGTCATTAACCCATTAGTAGCAAAAACTATGCACAAACTTCTCTGTTTCTCATTATTTATTAATTGCTCGCTTCCCGCCATCCATTTCCTGTGCTTGAAGTGAATCAATTTCAATGCCCGCATGACCGCTGGTCGTCAACGGTGACCATGACCGCTGGTCATCTATAGCGACCATGACCGCTGGTCTTCCTCCGCGAGCTTGACCGCTGGTCATCCACCGCGAGTTCGACCAATGAGCACAGCCTGTAACCGCGGTCAATGACATGCGAACATTACACCGTACCTTTGAAAATTCAGGCGGTCGGGTCTTAGGCCGGCGTGACCGGTTCCACATGTGCCCAAGATATGAGAAGATGCAGATGGTCAGAATTTCTCCCAACCACTTTACCACAAATACTCACTGACAGGTTCTTAGCATGATCATCGTGATCACGATTAACTCTATCTCCAAATACTTGCCGTATCCACGTGCTCGACGAGACGCCCGTGAAATATCCATGGCGCTTCTACCGGATCGCGTGTTCGTCCAGGAATGAATAGGATGACAACTCACGTCCGCGGGTAGTGCGCCAAAGCCAAGTCGACGCGCATCACGTACACAGGACCATTAAGAACACAATTGCTGCGCACGATCTTGTCAAGCATCGTCGGTTTGCCGTCATCCGGACTGTTAGAAACGATCATGTTTGACAGGGTCGAGGTTCAAGGGATATACCATGTGACGGTCTCATCTGATTGGCTAGTGGTATTACCAGGTGACATGTGGGACCACGAGGAGACTATTGGACAGATGGGACAGGAAGAGACAGGGCGAAGATGTGACAGATGGGATGGCGAGATGACAACTTGAAGGTTGGGACTAGGCGATACCGTTGCAATATGTGACCGACGTACGAGATGTGCAGGAAAGACGGATGCCATCAGGGAAGTACATGGTCAAGTTGCAGTGCAGTTGAGGTGCATGTTGTAGCATTGACGAAGGAGAGTAGGTAATGCTGAATATATTTTACTTTTACTTCTAACTACCTCTGCACAAGTGCACAGTAAGCATCTTAAACTAAGATGTTATGAGCCCAAAAAAGCGCGATGGCGGTGCAGCTTACCAAGCTGGACCTGTGGTGGTAAACAACGGTCTCAGCAAGACCGACGACCATAACTTGTAAGAAAAGTCGGCAGCGCCCGTTGAGGCAATGGATCAGATGCTGGCTATGCTCGGGGACCTATCCGATCGGATAAATCGAATGGAGGTCGCCCGGACGGAACAAGCCAGCGAGGATCAAAAGTGGGTCACCGGAGTCAATTTTTCGGCTCGGCGTTGGGAGTGGAGCAAGGATGAGCCTTCAAGATCTGGAACATACCCCTCCTCCCTAGAAGTCCCCGAACGTGTCACTAGCGACGTACTTTATGGCAAGGCGTCAAGCGAATGTTGGTCGACGACCGGCAGACCATGTTGCAGCAGATCTCAACATGGGGTAGTTTCCTGAGCCTGTAAACTACAGACAGGAAGCGCATGCGGGGTACATTCCCGGTGGAGGTATGCCAAACAGGATTTACGGCCATCCTGTATCACAAGTAGCGGGCATGCCGGACGCACAACATCAAAGTTGGCGCTGCAACCTTTTCACGGCAAGGAACTCTACCACGGACTTGGTAGTGGGTTCCTTGAATGGGGCAAGGAATTTGTGCATCAATTCGGGTTCGCGGAGCGTGCGTGTGGGTTAGTATGGCCGGAGGACATCAAGGTTGATGTGCTGGGGCAACATCTGGCAGGCAAAGCGTAAACGTACTATCGCCGGCAGGTAGAGACTTGGTGGGTTGAAATTCAAACCTTGGAGCATGCTATGCAAAGGTTACCGCAGACCTTTAACATCAAGATCTCACCTGCCCAAAGTATGAAGTTGTTCACGGCGCCGAAGGCAAGTCACAGAAGCTGGACGGACCATTTTGTGTACTTGACGGCCGTCAGCGATGCATGCGATGGTGCGGACAGCCTAGTGCTCAACAACATTGTCCATTATGCAGACCCGCACATGCGTATGACCATGTTTTCCAGGTTGTATATACATTGGACCGACCCCCTACGTCAGGATGAAGAGCTGGCCCAGTTCGCGCAGTCGAGAGAAGTCAACACTCACGCAAAAAACTTGGGGCAGGATGTGTACAACGCTGTCGAATCAAGGAAGGAACCAAAGGACAAGGTCAAGGCGAAGGCGAAGTCTACGTTCACGGAAGGTGACGAGCGCACGTGTTACAAGTGTGGCGAAGTCGGGCATATCAGATCGAGGTGCCCCCACTCCAAGAAGAAGTCTACAAGAAATGACTTTACTTTTGCGATTGGAAATGATGGTGGTCTGGAAGATGACCATTGAATTCTCGACAGTGGATCTAGCAGACATTTGGTCAACGACCTGAGTCTGCTGGTCGATCCAGAGGACTGCCACAGCGAATGCTTGACGGCTGCCACTGTGTGTGACGAAACGTGGAAGTGTTTCCGTTGAAGTTGTTGCACTTGGAGTCGTGAACACCGTACGACTCCTTGATGTCCAGTACGCCGCCAACCTAGAGCGTAATATCATTTCATATGGTAAGCTTGAGGCCAAAGGATGCGTACTCGAATATCGAGGAGGAAGGCGTGTGTTGACCTCTGGAGTCGGAGGCGCAGTGGAGATGGATGTTGATTGCAACAACAATGTGTTGGTTGTCAAGGTGATGGGAGGCAACAACAAACCCTCACGCACATCACAAGCAGCGATGATGGCTGTAATTCGTTTGCCTGAATTATATGAATCCGACTCGGATGTTTAGAGTGGTACCTTGATGCAATTTTATCGACGGTTGGGTCACCTATGTTTTGACACGATCATCAAGATGGCCAACTACCCGGCGTCGAGTATTAAGCTGACTATCAAGACACGCATGAATTGCCTGGCGTGCGCCCAAGGAAAACAAGTCAAGGAAAAGCAGTCGAAGAAAGACACGGGCAATAACTCACCTATCGATGTGATAGGTGGAGTGATATGCTCCAATCTCAAAAGTCCGATGACCCCGCGAGATCTGCTGGGCAACCGTTACCTGGACAACTTCATTGATCACCGGTCAAATTATTGCCGTGTGTTTTTGGCTAAGTCGAAGGATGTTGCTGCGCTCAAGTTTAAGCACATCCTTGTGAGCTTTGAACGTGAGTTCCATTGCAGGATCCATGTGCTACGTGTTGTAAACGATACGCCTCGGCATGACGTTTCAGAAAAGTGTTCTGTAGCTCAGCCGGTTTGGTATGGCAGTACCATCCCAAAGGTCACTGGTTCGATACCGGTGGGGCGTGTAAACAAAAAAGTTAAGCCTTCGGGATCTGGTGTTTGGGGTGCACCAGCACTGTCCTGTCAGACAGTGACGTCCCCCACTTTCGGTACGTTTGGGTGTTTAGAAACGCACGACCAGAATTAGAAACGTACGACTAGACGATTAGTAATGCGCGATGTGGTGATTACTAATGCGCGACTAAACGATTTGTAATGTGCGCTATAGCGATTAGGAACGAATAGTCGAAGAATCAAGTAGGCTTCGAGTAGCAACAGACTTTGCGAACTAAGGACCTAAGTATATTCACTTTGCATTTTACCATCTAGTGCTCGACTGCCTTAGCCTTCAGGTTATGAGCCCAAGCCCCGTTTCCTCCAACGAAGACTCCGACTACGCCCTCGCCATGGACGCTGCCGCAACGCCGACCACCCGCATCAACAAGTTTTAAGGGATCAATGTCCACACATGGAAGTTCAAGATGAAGATGGTCCTGGAGGAGCGCGACCTGTGGGAGGTCACATGTGGAAAAGTAAAGCTTGAGCACTGCACCATAGTGATGGAGCAATCCGCGTTCATGAAAAAGTCACGCAAGGCGCTGGCGATCATCTGTCTCGCGATGGAAGATTCGCAGCTGCCGCTGGTCCGTTCAGCGATTGGGGCGTACGATGCATGGTCAAGACTGGAAGGGAATTACGAGAAGAAGAGTCTGGCGAACAAGCTCTTTCTTCGTCGACGCTTCTTTACAACAATGATGGATGAAGGTGATGATGTGCTGGAGCACATCAACAAGCTCAAGACTCTGGCGGAGCAGCTCGATGTGGTTGGCGCTCCGGTGAGCGAGGACGACTTGGTGATCACGCTTCTTGCTATATTAAGCGAGTCGTACCCGTTTTTGATCACAGCGTTAGAGTCTCGTGCTGACTCTCTGTCGTGGGAACTCGTGACGTCTCAGCTAATGCATGAAGACATGAAGCGCAAGGAACAAGGTGGCGGAGTCGACGGATCCGCGCACGGTCAAGGTCAAGCGTTCATGACAAGCAATCACAGCAAGCGAAAAGGAGGAAGGCCTGTGCAGAAGGCCAGTGCATGTCACTACTGTGGCGATCAAGGACCTTGGATTGCCAAGTGTCCAGTGATAATCCGCGAGAATGCGAACGGCAGAGGACGCAAAGAGCAAGCGTCGCGCAGGTTGAAGAAGACTCTGGCGACTTTCTGTTTTCAGTTGATGGGGTTATCATCAAGCTGAGTGAAGAGTGGCTGGTCGACTCAGGTGCGACTCAGCACATGACATACTCAAAAGAGTACATGAAGAACTACCTGAAGATCTCGCCAGTGGATGTGCATTTGGCGGATGATGGCGTGGTACAAGCAGTGGGAAAGGGAGACATCATCATGTCAATGAGGACAAAACACGGCGTCAAGAAAGGTGTGCTTACTGGTGTGTGGCACATTCCCAAGTTGACGCGCAACCTGTTCTCTGTGGGGCGTTTTACGAAGGACATTGGCCCCGTCACATTTGAAAGTGACGGGTGCTTTGCTCAGTCGAAGAGTGTGAAGTGGCAGCTGGGTACGCGCAAGGGAAAGGGCTTATTCAAGTTATGCATGACCCCGCTCATGCCAGATGAGGCAAATGTGTCAAGTTCAACCGGTTTCAATGGGACCAACCGGTCGTACCTCTGGCATCTTCGACGTGGCCATATTGGCCATAACGGTCTAGACTCCATTGTCAATAAGGGCTACGGCATCGGCATCAACATCACGTCTGCTCAACAGTGGGAGATGTGTCAAGGGTGTGCTCTTGGCAAACAAACTCGAGTAAGCTTTAAGCCAAAGTCCCCAGAGAGTGCAAATAAGATGCTGGAAGTCATCCACAGCGATGTCTGTGGTCCTATGCAAACAGCTTCGCTCGGTGGAAGCAGATACTTTGTCACGTTCATTGACGAGTATTCACACTTTAGTGTGGTGTTCATTCTTAAAAACAAGTCTGAAGTGGCTTCTAAGTTCGCCGAATTCGTCGCATTTGCAGAGACTTAGACAGGCAACCGTGTCAAGCTACTTCGCAGTGACAACGGCGGAGAGTACAAGTCGCATGAGATGACCAAGCTGTGCAGCATTCGTGGCATTGTACAAAAGTTCACGCCTCTCTACACACCTCAACTCAACGGAGTGGCAGAACGGATGAACAGGACATTGGTGGAATGCGCTCGCTGCATATTGGAGCATGCCGGACTTTCCAAGGAATATTGGGGTGAAGCTGTTGTAACCGCTACATTTCTTCAAAATCGATGTCCAACACGTGCCACAAGTGAAGACAAGTTGCCACATCAAATCTGGACCGGCAAGAAACCGCTGTTTTTAAATCTGAATGTGTTCGGTTGTCACGCATAAGTGACGGTCCCGAAACAAAAGCGCACCAAGTTTGATGCGCAGTCAGTCTTTTGCCGCTTCATAGGATACTCTGAACACGAGAAAGCGTATCGCTTTAAAGAGATCAAGAGCCGTCGTGTTCTAGTGAGTCGCGACGCAAAATTCATGGAAGACGTCTTCGACAGTGGGAGACGCACCGAAAGAGACGCAGAAGATGTCTTTGAAAGTCAAGGAGATGAGAGTCAGGTCATGAATGTTCTTCCGTACCAATTCAGCCTGACGAAGAAGACTCTGCGCAAGACGAAGATACGAAGCCCGGCAGTAAGCGCCACACGCGAACCCCTTCGTTGGAACAAGCTGTGGAGATTCCGGTTCCCAAGCGGCAGAGTCAAAGAATTTTGCTCAGAAACATGTCGGCGGTGGCACAAGTCGAGGAAGACTTTGATACAGACTACGTTGTGGATTCAGTGGGAGATATGCCGACAACGTTTATATCGGCGATGGAATCCAACAACGCGGTCAAGTGAAAGGAAGCGTGCGACTCCAAAATCGACTCCCTCCGCAAGAACAAGACGTGGCAGTTGGTGCAATTACCTAAGGGTCGGAAAACTATCGGATGCAGATGGGTGTTCCGCGTCAGATAGAATCAAGATTGTGGGATCGAGCGTTATAAAGCGCGCCTCGTTGCAAAGGGGTTTTCACAGAAGCTTGGCATCGACTACGGGGAAACATTTGCTCCGGTTGCCAAGTTCACTTCGATTAGATTCATCCTCAGTCTGGCAGCCAAGTACGACCTTGATGTACACCAGATGGTTGTCAAGACCGCGTTTCTGAACGGCGAGCTGGATGAAGACATCTACATGGCGCAACCGGACGGCTACATCGACGAAGATCACGAGCATTTCGTTTGCAAACTGCAGCGGTCACTGTACGGACTAAAACAATCACCGCGGATGTGGAACAAGACCATCGACGAGTTCATGATCAAGATCGGATTAAAGAAATGCGAGTCCGATCACTGCATTTATGTTAAGCGAGATGAGCAGCGCATGATCTTCGTGGCACTCTACGTCGATGATTTAATCATCGCCAGCAGCAGCAACAAGAGCCCTCGTGAAGCCAAAAGCGCACTAAGTGAGAGGTTCGAGATGACCGACATGGGGAAGCTCAAGTTCTTTCTTGGAATTGAGATTGAGCGGGCCGAATCAGGAGGGACACTTTCATTGCGGCAGAGCAAGTTCGCGAAAGATATTTTAGAGAAATTCGGCATGCTGAATAGCAATTCAGTCAGGTCGCCACAAGACCCAGGCCTGAAGTTGACCAAGGCCATGTGCGAAAGAGGTTGCAAGCATGAAGAAACGATGACAAATTTTCCCTACCGGAACGCCGTAGGATGCCTCATGTACCTTATGGTGGGCACCCACCCGACCTTGCAGCTGCAGTGGGAGTGCTCAGCCAGTTTGCCTCCGATCCGTGTCCAACACACTGGCAAGCACTCAAGAGGATTTTTCGGTATGTAAATGGTACCAGGACACACGTAATTGAGTTTTAAGCAAGTGAAGACGACAGCCTTCAGGGCTTTTCGGATGCAGACTGGGCCGGCGACATAGAGTCAAGGCGCAGTACAAGTGGCTACGCCTTCATGATGATCAACAGTTGCATCAGATGGAGGAGCAAGAAGCAACGAACGGTGGCACTATCATCAACGGAAGCAGAGTACATGGTTCTATCGGAGGCTACACAAGAAGCAGTTTGGTTGAGGGTGTTCCTGTACGAACTTGGTGAGATGACAAGTAACCACGCTGTCAAGATCTTCGAGGACAACCAAGGATCGATCGCATTAGCCAAGAACCCAGAATTTCACAAACGCACCAAGCACATCGACATTCGCTACCATTTTGTTCGTGAAAAGGTTGCTGAAGGACAAGTGGTGCTAGAATACTGCCCTACTAAGGGCACGAAGGCCGATGTAATGACCAAGTCGATCACCGTCGTCCAGTTCCAGAAATTTCGGACCATGTTGGGTATCAAGGCGCCACGATCTGCCGAGGCGGGTGGGAGTGTTGTAAACGATACGCCTCGGCATGACGTTTCAGAAAAGTGTTCTGTAGCTCAGCCGGTTTGGTATGGCAGTACCATCCCAAAGGTCACTGGTTCGATACCGGTGGGGCGTGCAAAAAAAAAGTTAAGCCTTCGGGATCTGGTGTTTGGGGTGTACCAGCACTGTCCTGTCAGACAGTGACGTCCCCCACTTTTGGTACGTTTGGGTGTTTAGAAACGCACGACCAGAATTAGAAACGTACGACTAGACGATTATTAATGTGCGATATAGCGATTATGAACGGATAGTCGAAGAATCAAGTAGGCTTTGAGTAGCAACAGACTTTGCGAACTAAGGAACTAAGTATATTCACTTTGCATTTTACCATATAGTGCTCGACTGCCTTAGCCTTCACTACGCACCGACGGTGGTGGTGAATATAAGACATTGGACATGTTTTGCAAGGCTACGGGCGTATCGCGTCAAGTGAGTGAGGCTAGGAATCAAGCCAGCAACGGTAAGGCTGAGCGCATGCATCGTACCATTATGAATACGGTACGAAGCATGGTGTTCGCTCTGAACCTACCTCTGTCCTTCTGGGGTGATGCTGCTGAATATGCGGCTTACATCCTTAACAGGAGTAAACCAAGTCGAATCCTGGTGGAGTATCACCCATGGAGTTTTTGACGAAGAATGTGCCCACGCAGAACGACATCATGGTGTTCGGTTTAACGTGCACGGTCCATGTTGACACCAAAAATAAATCACTTGGTGAGAGCGGTAAGGCGGCCATTATTATTGGCATAAGTGACTCGACAAAGGGGTACAAGGTGTACATCCCGAGGGACAAGGTGGTTGTGGTGACGCAACATGTGCGTAACATTGAAACACTGACGGACGAACAGAATGGTCAGTTGAAGTCCCACTTGGAGAAGATCGACCGTCAGGAGGAGATCCTTACTGATAGTCAACAAACTGTTTAGACGCAAGCAAGTGGCAAGAAACTACTTACAAAGAGCCGTAAGGCCGGAAGATCAACATGGACAAGAGATCGACATGGCACAAGGTCGACAAGCGAGCAACAGGCAAAAGAGAATGCTACTCAAGGGCCTGTTGATCAGCAAGATATGGTGAACGCAGTTGTGGTGCAAGACCCGAAGCACTATGGGGAGCCAGTCAAGAGCGACCATCGAGAGCAGTGGAAAATCGCTATGCCCAAAAAACTGGACGCTTAGAAGTCGACGACGTTTGGACGATTGTGGTACCACATACAGGCACTCACGTTTTGCATAACAAGTGGGTGTACAAGACCAAGACTGACGCGAACGGGGATTCCGAGCGGTATAAGGCTCTTTTGATTGTTTGTGGAAACGAACAAGTCTTTGGAGTGGATTATACCCTAACCTTCGCGGCCGTCATGGACTTAGGGACGGTGAAGTTGATCTTGGTGCTTCCAAGACGATGGAACGTACCTGTACGCCATGGTGACGTACCAAATGCGTACGTAAAGGCGGATAAGGAGGAGCACTTGGACATCTACATAAAAGTGCCGAAGGGGATGAGTCTAGGCGAAAATGAGCTCGAAAGTCTGGGAGTCAAGACTTTAAGCGATTTGGCGCTACTGCTATAAAAGTCATTGCATGGAATTCAGCAGGCTGGGCGGTTGTAAGCAAACTACTTGACTCCAGGCTGCGACAAAGTGGATTTCAGCGATGCATGACGGACATGTGCTTGTACTACAAGTACAAAGGCAAGATATGTACAGTGGTCGGTGTCTATTTGGATGATCTATTGGTCGCATGCACCGAGTAAAGCGCTGTAGACGAGTTTTTCGCTGAGATGAGCTCATTGTCTATTAAGGACCTGGGGGTCGTGAAAAAGTTCCTGGGATTACGAATTTAACTGGACGGGTCGAATGGTTACGTACTGGATCAAGAGGTCACGATCGACTTGTTGCTCAAGGAGTTCGGTATGGAGTCAGCAAATGGAGTGCGGACTTCTGTTAAAGAAGAGTGCAATGAGGATGACGAAGATAATCTGGACTATTTACTTACTAGGAGTGCAAAGCGTGATCCAAAAGTTAAGACGTTTCATTCGCTGGTGGGAAGATTGCTATGGATTGCAAGGTGCACGCGTCTAGACATTTGCTTCGCAGTGCACAAAGCCACGAGACAGACACACAAGCCGACGTCCAAGGACTGGAAAACGGCCAAGAGTATCTTGAGATACTTGAAGATGTTGAAGGGTCTGAAGTTTCATCTAAATGGTGTGGATCAACGACAGAGGACGCCCGAATCGAGTGTTGGAGCGATGCAGATTTTGCTGCAGACAAGGCCGACCGTAAGTCAGTTTCGGGATGTGTAATAACGATGGATAGTGCTGTTGTTCTGTTGTCATGCAAGAAACAATCAGGGGTGTCATTGAGTACGATGGAGGCCGAGTTCATCTCAGCGTCGCAGGCAGGACGTGAGCTACTAGGCACGAAGGAATTGCTGAACGAACTAAAGCTGCGTGTGCGCGAGCCTATGCCGATGTGGATCGACAATCAAGCCGCCATCAAGCAGCTTGAATCGGAAAAGAGTTCCTCGAGCGCTAAGCACGTGGATATGCGGTTTAAGTTTATCTGTCATCATGCGCGAACAGGTATGGTGGTGCCAAGATTTAATAAATCGGAGAACATGATGGCGAAAATACTGACCAAGGCCCTGCCCGCGCCAAGAATGGAAGAATTGAGAACAATGTTTAAGTTGAAGGCCGCTCAGGATGACACCGAGGAGGAGTGTTAGAAACGATCATGTTTGACAGGGTCGAGGCTCAAGGGATATACCATGTGACGGTCTCATCTGATTGGCCAGTGGTATAACTGTAACGGGGCACCCTGAAGCTTGTACTGGTGACAGTACAAGCTACTTATTCTGATGACAGAATAAGGCGGTGCCTCGTAACTTCACGTACACTCGTACGTGCAGAGGAAGACGGTAAGAAGAAGCGAGTACTTAGTTTAAGTAAAAGTAGAACTGTATTTAGCATAGTTAATGTCTGTTTACAAATCACTATTTATCCTCATCTAACTATGTCTAAATACAAATGTGCATATCTACTATCTGCTCACCACTCATTGCGTGCGTCTGTCGTGGCGCGTCTTCGTTGGTTGATATGCCTATATCAACCAATTAGGAACTACTCGTAAGTGCTGCAGAATATTTGTCCTTATGACAATATTCTGAGAATATAACATTTATAGTTATATTCTATTGACAATTTCTTATAAATTGTTATGTAACAATTTACCCCGTTACATCACCGCCCCTTAACCATCAGTCACTTTAGTGACTGATTGACTAAATGGATACTCGTCCCAAATCATTTGGGACCGGGTTTGCACTTGTTGGTCCGAGTCCACTTTCCAACATTTCATCGCATGGTTAACAAGCACTTGCGATGCGCGAGCAAGGCCGCCGAGAGCGCGTCCGCACGTCTCTGTGCGGACGCCGAAGCAGAACCCACAGCAACTAATGTCTCATCTGTTGCTGAAGCGACTCAGCCTGTGTCACTTGGTGATGCAGGCGCTGGTCATGAAGACACTCATGTCTTCACAGAGTATGAGCTCGGAGTCTCATACTCTCCTGATACGGAAGACGGATCCGTATCGACGGCGATCGAATCCAAGCCGCCTGCCAAGCGTTGCATGGATGATGCTATGCATCGTAGCATCTTTGGTTCATCTGAATCATCAGATGAACCATCCCCGAAGTGAAGGCGCTCGAGGTCGCGAGACTCGGGCGCTAAAAGTGGTGTCGGTTCTCCTATGGACACCACTTCGCAACGAGGTGCCAGTACTTCTGTCGGCACGTCGAAGGAAGAGCGGGACCGCAATGTGTTGCGTCTCGCTCCTGAAAAGAAGGCATGGATGCCTCCTAAATCCGTCATGGATCACTTGTCGGCGACGACGAGTGATCGTTATCGAACACGGTTGTTCGATTCGTCGAGGATCCATCACCTTGACCCCAGTGCGAAAAACTATCGCGCTGAGAACGATTTCTTCATCGATGCTTTCTTCAAACATCGATGGTACAGTGGGAATCACAAACGTGATGGTCCCTCACTGCTTCAGGCGTGGAACGCCTACATCCATAATCTCGAGGATGTAGGTCGTGACGCTTGGAACGACAAACTTATCAAAGCTCGTGATAAGTTTGAAAAGCGAACCCCGACAGGTGCACGCTATAAGCTGCATCGTCTGTCAAGGGAGAAAGGATTACCCTGCCTCTCTTGGGGAGACTCGTGCCCATGTTGTGTGAACAACTCTGCACGAGCACCTAAGGAGGCTTACCTCCCTACCAGCCCGTGGTGGCGCGTACGTGTCTCTACTGAGATGTACGAATGGATTGACAACCTGAAATCCCTTTACGACCGTGCCGGGAAGACTTTCTCCGGCGGTCCTTCTGCGGCACAGGATGTGTCGCGTCGTACTGCTCAACCAGACCCAGTACGTCAACCATCAGTTGGGAGCGGGGCTCCCAAGAATCCCAGGACGGGGGATAGCCGCGCCACCGGACGAGATAACTCGTCCGACGTCCGTTCACGTCGCGGTGGTTCAACAGCTGCTCTACTAGATAGCGCTGGCCACCGCGAGAGTCCTCTAATGGAGGTGGAGGAGGAGGAAAGACGCTCTCCACACGATCATGTGGATCGGTGTGTTCCTGAGAGCTTCTTTGATCGCGTAACGCAAGGGTTACGCGACGATCTCGAGCATGAGCGGGATAGGCGTCTCCAAATGGTGGACACTGCCTCGAAGCATCGAGCTGAGTTTGCCTTTGCTCAGCTTGAGAACGAGAGATCTCTGACATCTCTTCGTGACGAGCTAAGGGTATCTCGTGGGATTGTTGATCTGTCTCGGGCTGAGATAACTGCTCTTCAGACCCTTGTTGATGCCCACCATCGGGAGCACAAGGCTCTCTGCGAGATGCTTGAGCGCAAGGGCGTTCTTCATCGGAAGAAGCAGCGTACTGATGGTACGGCTTAAGCCGACCAACGTAAAACGTGGGATGCGTTCGCATCTTACGTGGTAACTCGATCGTGTATGCATTGCCTAGGCGGTGCAATACACGAAATGGGCCAATGTACTTGGGTAGTAGCTTACTGCTACCCAAGTTAGTCACTACATGCTTTGGTAGATTAACCGTAGACAGTAGGACTAAGTCACCTTTACTAAATATAAGAGTGTTTGCCCTTCCATTCTTGTCAGCGTTTTGCTTTTGCTTATCCACCGCTTCGGCGATGGAGTCTTGCACAAAACGGACTACCGTTTCACGAGCCAGTATGAACTCATCTGATGACTCGTTAGCTTCAGTGTGCTGTGAGCGCACTGCAGCAACATCAACCTTTTCTTCAGTGAGGGCTTCCGCACTCTCACTGGGATCATCTTCTTCAGTGAGGGCTTCCGCACTCTCACTGGCATCATCTTCTTCGATATCGATAACATCGATATCGGCATCAAACGCAATGACTTCTTCGTCAGAGCGTGATGAGCGTGAACCAAATCGATTTTTTTTTGCTCGCGCGAGTCCCTTCCCCCCTTTAAACCAGAGTTACACTCTAGTAAGGTGGGTACACGCGGATGGCGCAAGCCATTCACGTAAAACGGTGTATGTGTCGTGGACGCATGCACCGAGTTGTTAATGGCAAACTCTACCTTTGGCAAAAACTCACTCCAACTCTTAAAGGAGTGTACGTATCCTCGAAGTATCTCTTCGAGGACACGATTGGCACGTTCCTTCTGACCATCTGACTCTGGATGATCAGATGTCGACATATTTAAGCGCGTTCCGAGTGATTTGAACACGGAACGCCAGAAATCAGCAGTGAATCGTGGATCTCTGTCTGATACGAGTTCACGGGGCAACCCATGAAGTCGGAAGAGGGTGTCAATAAAGACACAAGCACAGCCACTTGCCGTGACTGTCTCTGGTACAGCCACAAGGTGTACCATTTTGCTGAATCTGTCAACAAATACGAGAATACCCGTATTCCCGCGTGCGTCTTTGGGTAACCCGAAGACAAAATCCATTGAGATGGATTCCCAGCACTCAGCCGGAACCGGTAGAGGCTGTAAAGGTGCACGCAGTGAAGGACTTGACTTCACTCGTTGACAGACTTCGCATGCGCGAACATACTTTCGCACAAACTGATACTGGCGGGGCCAGTAAAAGTCTCGACTCACCGTGAGATATGTTTTCTCTCGGCCACGATGTCCTCCCATAGGAGCATCGTGATACTCGAACATGATCCGCAAACGCAGATCAGTATCATCTGGAATGACAACACGTGGTGTGTCACCAGAAACGGCTGTACAATACAGTAAACCGTTACGAGTAGTGTATCGATCTGATGCAGATCGATACGCAGGCGACAATCGTTTCAACGATTCTCGGGATGGTTGGGAGGGATATGTCAACAACTTCACTATCTCACCATCTTGGGCGTATGCCCGCCTCACATCATCATACAACGTTGTAGATGGGACTGAGGACGTCATAACCGCAACAGTGACTGTCTCACGGTTGGGTTTCGCGACTGTTTCAAAGTCGGGAAGACGTGAGAGTGCATCAGCGACGACATTAAGTCGTCCTGGTTTGTACTCGACCGTAAAGTTGTATTCTGCAAAGAATGACAACCACCGCGCCATTCGTTGCGAAAGGTGCGGACTGTTCACTGCCGTGCGTAATGACGCATGGTCAGTGTAAACAATGAAGGGTCTATCTCCTAATAGATAGACTCTGAACTTCGCGAGTGCATACTTCATGGCAAGGAGTTCCTTGTCATGCACTGGATAGTTCCGCTCAGCTGGTTGCAGCTGACGCGACTGATAGCAGACGACGCGTTCAACGCCTTCTAGGTCGTACTGCATTAATGCACAGCCGATTGCGAAATCGCTGGCATCACAGACCACATGAAATGGCCTGTCCTGATCGGCTATTGCTAGGACTGGGGATTGTATCAAGCTCTGCTTGATACCATCAAAGGAGCGCTGACATTCAGCGTTCCATAACCACCTCTCGTTCTTTTTCAACAAACGAGAGCGGTGCACAGTCATCTCGGCGTAATTGCGTGAATACTTATGCAAATACGCCGCTAGCCCAAGAATTTTTGAAGACCTTTGACATCAACCGGCACAGGCCAGTCGGTGATCGCCTTGATCTTTTCGGGATCAGGACGTACACCGTTCTTACCAACGATGCACCCAAGAAGTGGTATTTCGCTTGCTGCAAATATACACTCTTGAGGTTTGCATACAATTGATGCTTTCGCATGATTGTAAGAACCTGTCGGACGTGGTACCTGTGAACCTCAACATCCGACTTTCCATCCATAGCTCGACTATGGATGAATACGTCATCGAAATAACTCGGCGCGAATTCTCGTACTGGTCTCAACAGATGTGATACACATCTGTTGAATGTGGCAGGGGCATTACTAAGCCCTTGTGGCATTACTAGCCATTCCCAGAGCATGCCGCTAGGCGTGCTAACTGCGGTATAGGGTATATCCCGTTCTCGCATAAGGATTTGATAGAAGCCATCCATCAAATCCATGGACGAAAAGATGGTACTCTTTGACATACCATCAATGATTACGTCCTTCCTCGGTATCGGCGTCTGAGCCGGTACCGTTGCAGCGTTCAATTTGTTGAACGCGTGCACTATCCGCCACCCTCCTGTTGCTTTTCGCTCACAGAAGGTCGGAGAGCTATGTGGGGAAGTTGATTCCCTCACATGGCCCGCAGCTAAACGATCGGCAAAGAACTTGTCGATCGCAAGTACTTGTTCACGAGGCAGTGGCCACTGCTTCATGACATAGTACTTCGAGCCTGGTTTAAGCTCGACCTAGTGTCGAATACCTTAATCCTTCGGTAATTCGCACGGAACAGTTTCAGGGAATACATCCTTGAATTCAACCAAATCTTCATAGAGAGGATTTTTCTTGAGCGATTCCCACGATTGGGAGTCATATCGCTCAATTCGTGTCTTTTCATCTAGGACACTCTCGTCCATAGATGAACTACTGAGAACTCTCTCGTTCTCAGTAAACACTGTTTCTGACCTTATGTCGGTTACACACTCGTCGTCAGCGACGAGTACGCAGATCTGCTTGACTTTGCCACTACGCAGATCACGCAAGAACCTTTTATGTTCGAGCGTTGGCAACTGAGTGATCTCCGAAGTTAACTTCGGAGGCGCAATCAGATCAAGTGTATAAGCGCCTACACTTGATCCGTTATTGACTATGACATTCAATGTCTCTGTCATTTCCTGGGGACTTATTCCCTCAGGCCTCGAAGGACTTATTCCTTCGTCTTCCCGGGGACTTATTCCCGCGGGTTTCGGGGAACTTATTTCCGCCGTATTTGTAATCTTGGGACTTGTTCCCTTTACTTCCTCTAGCTGGGGTTGCGCAACCACAGCGAGATCCTCTACGAAAGACTCTCCAGTCGATCTAGGATTATCGTTTCGCTTAACCTGAGCGATCGATTGTTTTTCTTCTAGATGTTCCCCGCGAGGGATACATCTTTGTCCCAGTCCACCCGACTTATTCGAGTGGTGGACCTTCGGCGCAGCCTGTGTTTCCTCACAGCCGCCGGAACTTTCCTCCGAAGTGTAACCGTTTGGTACACTAAGGTTTTGTGCAGTCGTACTAACGACCGTACCACAAGTGAGGCCATCGCACTCACTCGTAGTACATCCACACGCTTGTGGACGCTCCAAAACGTTCATCAGATGGCCATCTGATGAACAAGCGGCAGGCATCGTTACTGTCCGATGTTGCCAGTTTACCCGTGGTTCGTACCTTCTGAGCCACGGTATTCCAAGGATGACATCAAATTTGTCATCCAAATCCAATACGATAAAGTCATCGTCATATTGGGTATCTTCTAGCGTATAGTGGATCTTCACTATACGCTTCATGACGGTTACGGATGCGCCTGTCGCAAGACGTACCGTCATCCTCGTAGGAGGTGTGTCACATTCACTGAATTTAAAGTTACCATCTTCTAGCGATTGGCGTCGCACAAAATTGTTGGACGCCCCACAATCGACTAGAGCTCGAAGGGACAACTTATTCGTCACTTCGAGTTTCAAGGTAATGAGTGAGACCTCATTACCTAGAGCAGCAACGCACAACGTTTGTGTGTTGGGAGCAACCTTCATCAAGAGGCCTACAAATTCTCTTGACGTTGCTGGATCAGTAGGGTGCTCCGCACCTACTGATCCTGTCCGTTTTTTGACGGTCCATCCCGTTGTTGCGTCTTTGCACCAACAGCGGACCCTCGTCCCTGCCCCTTTCTCATGGGTGGACGGTCACTACGCCCAGTGTCGCGAGATACTGGACGAGGGGCACTACACTCATAAGCGTAGTGTCCTGTCTTTTGACATCTGTTGCATCTCTGCAACTTCTTGTAGCCTGTAGAGCGAGCCTTCTCGCTCTCTACATAACAGAGTTCCATCGGCTCTGGACCTCCGTTGTCATATCGTCTCGGTTGACGATATGATGTCGAGCTGGCGCGAGCCTGTCTCAGACTGAAGTCTTCCTGTTCCGCAATGGAAATGGCTTGTTCTAGTGAATCTAGTTCAAGCCGGAACAGGTGAGTCTTGACGGGACCATCCGCAAGGACCTGCATGAACACCGAAACCAACGTGTGTTCATACACCGGATTGGAACTTATACAACTCTTGAAGCTCAAGCAGGGTAAGCGTGCACATCACGCTTACCCTGCTTGAGCTTCAAGAGTTCGGTTCGAGCTCTGAACTCAGCTCTAGGCGGTTCAAACGTTTGTCTGAGCCGCGACTTGAAGACTTCCAACGACCCAAACGCATATGGGTCGTGCAACTTGAGCCCCAGTGCCCAAGTCTTGGCACGTCCTGCCAGATTTGACTGGGCAAATGCAACTTGCATATCCCCGTCGTCGATGCCACGCGCCCTTATGGCGTCATCCAATTCGACGAACCATCTCAAGAGGGAGTCCTCTTCGACCCCCCTATACTTGGAGATGTCAATCTTCAAGGTTTCGGGTCGACGCGAATGCATCGACCCACCAGCAGCAGCCTGCTGCTGTCTCAACAGTTCAAACTGTTGAGCACCCTGTTCTCTCAACAACTCTGCTTGTTGAGAACCTTGTTGGTGAAGCAAGGCTACTTTCTCGCGTTTAGCGTTAAGTTCATTTTGAATGAACTTGGCGATAGTAGCATGTTGGGCATCTCTATTGGGAGCCTCTAGCATGACGCTAACAGCATGGATGCCCATGGTTGAACTCATCCGTTCAACCGCATCCCATTCGACGTCGCTCAAATGGGAGTAGCCGTCACGCGTAGCGTGAAAGCTTTGGTCATCTTCATCATCTAACATGTTCATGTTGGATGTGAACGCGGTCCTTGGACGGACTACGAAGTGCTACCAGGTGTAACGGGGCACCCTGAAGCTTGTACTGGTGACAGTACAAGCTACTTATTCTGATGACAGAATAAGGCGGTGCCTCGTAACTTCACGTACACTCGTACGTGCAGAGGAAGACGGCAAGAAGAAGCGAGTACTCGGTTAGAGTAAAACGTAGAATTGTATTTATAATAGTTAATGTCTGCAATAAATCACTATTTATCTTCACCTAACTATGTCTAAATACAAATGTGTAAATCAACTATCTGCTCACCACTCATTGCGTGCGTCTGTCGTGGCGCGTCTTCGTTGGTTGATATAATGGCCTATATCAACCAATTAGGAACTACTCGTAAGTGCTACAGAATATTTGTCCTTATGACAATATTCTGAGAATATAACATTTATAGTTACATTCTATTGACAATTTCTTATAAATTGTTATGTAACGATTCACCCCGTTACAATTACCAGGTGACATGTGGGACCACGAGGAGACTATTGGACAGATGGGACAGGAAGAGACAGGGCGAAGATGTGACAGATGGGATGGCGAGACGACAACTTGACGGTTGGGACTAGGCGATACCGTTGCAATATGTGACCGACGTACGAGATGTGCAGGGAAGACGGATGCCATCAGGGAAGTACATGGTCAAGTTGCAGTGCAGTTGAGGTGCATGTTGTAGCATTGACGAAGGAGAGTAGGTAATGCTGAATATATTTTACTTTTACTTCTAACTACCTCTGCACAAGTGCACAGCAAGCATCTTAAACTTACACGGACGACCAACAGCCGCCAGGTTGATCGGTCGCTACTGAACGGCGGTACAGAAAAAAAGACCTTATCAGCCAGTTGTTAGTAGTCCTACAGTTACTGAAACTCTCCCGCTACTTACATCGTCCTGTGCGATTGGTGAAAAGACCATGTCGCATGTTACGCAAGCGTTTACGAGCGATACCTTTCCCTACCGGAGAGCGTGCATTTAACAACAACCTCTAATAGTTTATAAAAAGGCGTCCATTTAGTGATTTTGTGGGCGTGCATGTAACAATTCCTTAATAATTGGTCTGGCGATGGGTGTGTGAATATCAGGTTCGGCAAAGAAATATGAATATCACATTTATTTTGTGAATATCAGGTTTGGAAAGGGATGCAAATAACAGGTTTGGCAAAGGGAGTGAATTTGTACAAAACTACGATAGGATAGATTACGGTCATCTGCACCGGAATGGATCAAAATCCGGCCAGGAGTAAACGCAAGGTCGACGTAGAGCCGACAGTCAGGGCACCGAGGCTAAAGCGTCAGCATGTCGAGGAGAAGTTGCCGAAGCAACAACGTGTGGGCAACTTCAGAAGGTTTGCGGTGCAATTTAAATTAACTAATTAGTCGTAATAGTCACCTGAAGTGTTTTTGCCCATAGTTACTACACGTATCGACTGGGTCAGAAGCACCAAGGCGCACTGGAACAAGACCCGCGTCTCTCTGCACTGAACAAGAAATGGTTCGAAGGTAAACGTGGTCTGGACGTCGGCTGCAACTCGGGGGAGTTTACTATTACAATTGCCAAGCGGTTGGTGCCGAGTTACCTGCTGGGAGTGGATGTGGATCCGCAGCTTATTTCTCGGGCTAGAGGACATCTAAAGGACATTTTGAGACAAGAGCAGATTGAAAAGGCTTTCAGTGAAATTCCTGCAGTCCAATGTATTGAGCAGAAGAGTAAACGTGGAGAGATTGAGACCGTCCCAGGTGATAGTGGAGAAGCTGCAAGCGACGTTGTGGAAGCAAAGCAGGAGGTCACGACGGAAAAGGACACTTGCATGAAGATGAAGGACGAGGACGTGTTTACGAATAGTATGCCGCTCTCGTTTCGTTTTTGGAAGCCTTCAGTACAAGGTCAAGGTACTGCTTCTCGAGCCATTGGTAAGGCTGCTGTTGGGTACGTTAGTGTTGCATTCGTTTAGCCTGGATGGAAGTGAATCATGGTGAAATTGTTGTGGTGGTGGTTGTTTTGTTATTAGGTCGGTCTTTCCTATGAACGTGATCTTCAAACGTGAAGACATTGTGCTGGATACACACGCCGGCAAGGACTATGACTTCATCACGTGGTAAGCTTGTCATGATTTGTGTGCTTTGGTGTGCTAGTTAGATACGTTATAACAAGTTTGTGGTTTCAGCTTCAGCGTCACAAAATGGATTCATCTATTCCACGGCGATGAAGGGGTCAAGAAGGTATTTGCCAAAATTTACGAGCTACTGACGCCTGGGGGACGTCTCATTGTTGAGCCGCAGCCGTGGAAATCATACCACAAGCGGAAATTTACATCCGACGTTACGGCCGCAAACTACCCAAAGATCCAGCTACGACCAAAGGACTTTCCAAAATATCTCGTGGACATCGTTGGCTTTCGTAGCTGCGAGTTATTAGAGGTCTGCCAGACATCGTCAAATGGTTTCCGACGTCCCGTCTACGTTGCTCAAAAATGAGTCAGCAGCACCAACAAGAATATTTGCACACTTGTTTTCTAGCATCCTTGATTCACAACCATCTCGTTTGTGCGTATATCTAGATTTGGGTAAGCTCCTGTCCTAGCAACTAACGCCCTGGTTGGCAACTACAGCAATTCTTACGTAGCGCAAGCTAGAAGCTGCAGTATCTTGTGTTCGTGTGACACGCAAGTTGCAAGGTGAGCTTTTCGTCATACTTGTCCGAAGCTCTAGGTCCCACTCTCGTCGCCGATCATCTTAAAATCCACCTCTCCGTTCTTGGGCTGGTAGTAACACACCACGACAAATCGCCAAATCAATACACAACCAATTCGAGCTCAAGTTCGTATGCCGACCATCTGCTCACTCACCCTTTCGGATAATCGCTGCAGCTTGACCTCTCGGAGCGCCACCACCAACTCCTCCTTGTCCCAGAGTAGGTATCGACCCTTTGTGTGCCTTCCACATCTTGACCCGTTTGAACATCGGTGCGTGCTTCAACGTACTCTGTATGAAAAAGAGCAAGCATAGCGACGGACACCCCAAAGAAGGTCAAGGCAACAACAACCAGACTGAGCAGCTCCAAGAGATCCCGCTCTTTAAATGCAAATATTGCAATATATGCAAAAATAAAGACAAACGCATTGATCAATAATGTGGAAAGGATATATATCGGGAAACACGATAAAGAGGATCTGGCTGCCACGTAGATAAATTTGCTCCACTTGAGTCGTGTTGCCATTGATATCAGTGCGGACGGCTTCCTTCATGACGCAGTTCATATTGTCTTCGGTCTCATCCAGCAATCCACGGTACGTCTCTCCAGTCTTCATCTCAATGGACACGATCGTGCCTTCACCATCGTGCAGAAGGATGGTCGGGATGCCCACGCCGCGCTTGCCAGTGACTGCCATAACGTAATTTATTCGAAATGACAGATATTTATTCCAATAATTTGGATGGGAGGGATGATTTGCCAGTAAATTAGCTGAACAGCGATTTGTGTTAGGAGTCCATGTCAGTCGAATGCACGGGTGATATTTAGAATGGTAACTAAATATGAATTACTGACTTAGCGCACGTTTATTAGGAGTTAGAGGCGACTTCTAAACGACCTTCGAGCAGACACAACTGCATGCCAACCAAGACAAGCAAATGTGCAGCTGAACAAGAGAAACCGCTCGATCGAAAGATCCGCTTAACGGTACGACTTCTGGAAGCGAGCACGAGCACTGCCACCTCCGAACTTCTTGGCCTCGCAGCGACGGGGGTCCGCAACCAAGAGCGTGCGGTCGTAAGCGAGCAAGATGTCCTTGATCTCTTTCTTTGAAGCCTCGTCAACGTCTACACACAGGCAATAACGGCAAAAGTCAGTCTGATGCACCACAACAGTACGTCCATTAAAAGAGGCAAAACTCACACTTCTGGTAGTAGGCAACGATAGCCTTGGCAATGGACTGACGAATCGCGTAGATCTGCGCGGTGTGACCTCCGCCCTTCACACGGATACGGATGTCCACCTATATGTCGGGAGAAACACGTTAGCGCACCACATCGTCAAGCATCAGGTAGGTCGAGGGAGTGCAAGCCAGTTGCGACAGCATGGTATTTACACAACAGTAAACAGAGCATGCACACAGATTATTTGGGTGGTGCGGGTGCTTCGTAGCAGGCAATGTGCTTTATGGTGGGTGGAAACTTAGAGCCTCTCGAGCAGAGGGAGCGACACAACATCGTCCATGCCGATCAGCGGTCCGGATACCGTAAATATGGGTAGAGTGACCACAGTCGCTCTTCCAAGCGTCATATTCAGGTCGTTGTTCGTTTATACCGTCGATGGCGTAACCGAAGCTGTCGCGCGTAGCGAGCAATTCAACACAAAGAGTAGCAACTCATCGTACGTTGGCGAAACGCTGCTGGCCGAGAAGAAGCACGGGCTCGTACGTCTTGACGCGCAGGATCTCGGGCTCCACGAGCTCAATCGGCGTACCGTTGACCTTGATCAGACCGTTGCCGCGCTTGCAATAAGCGACAGCCGTCGCATTTTTCTTGCGGCCAAAGACCTGGACAGACTCAATCTTTCCCTCCATTTTCAATGCCTGTGCGAAAAGTAGCAATGGGCTCGCAAGAGCTCTTGGCGACCGCTACAAGCCCGGACCAACCAATCGATTCACCGCATTTCCACCAATCCACGCAGGACAAGCTCTTCACTGGCTACAATTCAAGTGAGACCTGGACGGTATGCTGTTGGAGAGTTCCATCGCTCGGAGCCAGTGAGTAGTGAGTGAGCGAGTGAGTGATATCGACATTTTGGAGCCACTTGACGATCATGAGACCGCTCACGGACGACGAGATGACGACAGTGTTTGAGAAGATCAGCAAGTACATCGGGCGCAATGTGCAGCATCTAGTGACGCGACCGGATGAGAAGTACTGCTTCCGTCTGCACGGAAACATCGTGTACTACTGCAGCGAGAAGCTCATGCGGCAGTCTACCAACGTGGGGACAGAAGAGCTGCTGAGCATTGGAACGGCTGTGGGAAAGCTAACGAAGACCAAGAAATTCCATCTGCGCATCACGTTCTTGGACTACATGGCACAGTACGCCAAGTACAAGATCTGGATCAAGCCCAACTCGGAGATGTCTTTCCTGTACGGCAATAACGTCGTCAAGTCGGGACTCGGACGCATCACGGAAGGCACGCCGCAGTACGCTGGTGTGGTCGTCTTTAGCATGACAGACATTCCACTAGGATTTGGAATTGCTGCACAGGCAACTGAGCTATGCAAAGACTTGGAACCTACGGCCTACGTGGTGCTGCATCAAGCAGATATAGGCGAGTACCTCCGTGTTGAAGACGAATTGTTTTAGTAAAGACCCGACCAGTGCCTTGAATGAGGTCTAGTCGTAGTAGTTCAGCAGACTCCGTGCATCCTCTACCCATATACCGACTTTCCCCACTTTTTAATCACGTACTTTGTGTTTCTGCTCTAGAGCAGTAGGAATAACTCTATATTGCTTCCAGATCGTCCAAGGTGATCGATAGTCACTTGTCCAGCAGTATAGCATTCATGGTGCTTTGGATCTGCTCATAGGCGGCAAAGATGATCGCTCCAGTCGGCATGACCTTGAGAATGTTCGCCGACAAGCCCTTAAACAACCCGATATACCCTTCGTGTCGAATCGTCTTGACTGTACAGTCCCACGTGCCCGTATACTTGTCCGCCACGGGTCCTCCCTGCTGCAGACGAGCTTTAATCACCTGATACGGGTACGTCGTTGTTGATGCAATGGACTGCGCCACGGCACCCATCAGTAGCGTCGGAATCACGTCCATCTCATAACTCCAGTGCGTCTGATACAAACTCCTGAGTCGCTCGTACGCGACAAACTTGATAGCTCCATTTGTCGTAAGGAACAGCGCAGGGATCATACCTTTGTACAGTGCCGACACGCCTTCCGTCGCGACAATTTGCCGGAACGCGTCTGCATAGCAACAGCCACTCCCCCATTAGTTTCGATGCTTCCCCCTCCCTCTCTCTCTCTCTCTCTCTCTCAGTCTCTACGAGAGACAACGCACCTGCAACATTTCGATAGCGAGCGGTCACCACCAATTTCGTGGCCGCGTCTTTTCCTGCTACACTCGCTTGCATCCTTCGATTGCTCTGCACCTGCATACGGACTTTAATGAGCCAAATGGGGTTCGTCAGAGGCACGCAGATCATGCCCGCTTCAATGCCCGAGAAAAAGTGCTGCCACGATCCCTGGATCCAGCCTTCATCGGCCATCCGAGCGTAGCGCATCTTAGCGTTCTGGTACACGAGCATGTAGATGCCCCAGGAGAGCGTGGCGCCGTAGAGCGCTGGACTCATGCCGTGGAACAGCGCGCGTAGACTCTCTTCGGCGACGATCGAGCGGAAGGCGTGACCCAAGGAGCGATAGGCGTGCGTCGACTTCTCGTGCACTTGGTAGCGCACTTTGACGAGGTCAAGTGGGTACAAGAGCACAGTCGAGAGGGCGCCGGCTCCGAGCCCGGCGGTGGTGTGGATCACACTGCGCCATTGGTCGTCAGTCAGTAGCTCTTTAAGCGTCATGACGGCGGAGACGAATTGAAACTGAGATCAAGGATGACAGAGGCCGCTGGTATGGAATTGGAGAGGATCGGGTATGCTTTCCGAGAGGTTCAACTTGTGTCACGTGCAGAGTGATGGTCAGGCATCATTTCGCCATTCCGCGCGACTAAAGCAACATGCAGCAGCGTGGCCGGAAGCGTCGGGACCGTGGGGCGCAGTTCATACGGAGTAATCTCGAGCTGCTGGGCTTTGGCGACCGTCGCGACGCGCTCGTGCAAGCGGTAAAGGAGCTCTTTGAGAATGGTGGTGCAAAGAGAGACGCTGTCTGTAGCTGCCGGGCGAAGCGAGAGACGTGTGACGTGTTCCTTTCTCTACCTTCCTCTTTGTGTTGTTAGCAATGGACGCCACGCAGTCGCTTGGATCCAACGTCTCGTGGGACGACGCACCACTCGAGCTCCTGCGCATCAGCGTCCAGCTGAACAAAGACACGGAGGAGATCGACATTGTGTGCGCAGACACGGGCTCAGGCATGCGCGCGCATCAGATCAAGCTCCTGTGCTGCAACGCTTTCGAGACGACCAAGTTGGAGATGGAAGGAAACGGGGGTCCTACCAGCGGGAAATACGGTGCGCTGACAGCAGCTGTTCCTGAGGAGGAGAGCGGAAAAGGCCCGAGACACGGGACTCCCTCAACTGCTGTTCATGGACGACTGACTTACTGACGTTTGGATGCTTTAGGGCTAGGACTCAAGGCAGCGATGCTGTACAGCCAGCTGCATGCTAGTGAGGCGTGTTTAAAGGTCGCGACGACGTCCCATTCAGATGGCATCTTGTACGTGCAGCTCTGCATTGACGCCGATTCCGAGGAGACAGCAGTCGTGAAGCAAGTGGCGCACTTCGTGGTGGACGAAGAGCATCAGCACTTTTCTGGGACAGAAGTGCGACTGTCGGTCCCTTGTCCAGTGCAGACAGTGGAGCTACAGAGTGCAGCTGATACACTTGCCATGTACTTTCAGAGTCTGCGGTACACGGCGCCGCCATTTCTCGGCGTGCAGTTCGACTTTAACGTCAAAGATGTTCACACATCAGTTGCCTGTCACCACCGAGAAGAGCCGATTGACCGGTTTGCGGCCGATCTGGGCGCGACTGCAGATGATGTTTTGTATGCTGTTGACGACGGAGAATCGGTCTCCATTAGTTGTGTGGCGATCATGCTTGGAGACGCGCACATAGGTGCAAGTGAGAGCGACATCGAAGTCTGCCTGCTACGCTTTGCCAACCACGCGCCACTGATCAATGGTGAAGACTTTTTCCTTTGTGGAATTACTAAGGGCGTTTGTACGGCAAAGTTGTGGAAAAAGTTTGGACTTCGCTGCCAACGACAGACCTCGAAGCTTGTGAATCAACTCGTTGCAACACCTGTGAGAGCCACAAATCGACGGGAGAGCGACGACGTTTCTCATTTGAATCGCCTCGTCTTGGCCGTCGACGTTTGTATTGCTGATGATGTAGTGGGAGAAGGGATTAAGTATGGTGGCTTGAAGAAGAGCACAGTGGACGCATGCTACGCTGATGGGGTGCAGACTTGCTGTCAACGCATTTTACTGCAACTTGCCGAAGCTGGTCGGTTGTGCTCTCCACAGCAGCGACAAGATCACGATCTAATAGAGAACCTGGCTCCGTTGATTGCGAAATCGCTCACAGCTATTGTCAAGCAATCACTAATGCACCAACCTGGCGGTATCGCGTCGTCGCAGCTCGAAAGCGATCTGCAAGGGCACTGTGACGAGGGACTTATCCTGCAAGAGCTTCGATTGGCAGTACAAAACCGGTAAAATATAGTTTATGCGATAAGAGAGGTCTTTTTGAAGGGCGAGGAACGTTTGCCACACTATCGAAGCACAAAACATGTCGGCTATCGGAGCTCTGCGCGAACTGGAGAAGGATAAGAAACGACCCAACAATGCTGGACTCGTGGTACATGCGTTGCGTAATTTCTTTTGATTTCCTGCGATGGTGAAGTGGCTTATGTTGAGCTCGCGCGAACTTATTGTTGCAGAATCTATTCATGAACCTGCCGACCCGCATTCGTCAATCGGGCCCCGTGAAAGGCGGCATCAACTTTGCGATCAAGGTGCATTCCCGTCTGTCATCGTATTGTCAACGAAGCGAGGCAGATGTTTGATTTTTTTCGATTTTCTAGAGCTGGAAGACTTCTGGCCGGTGGTTGTGGGTCCTTTCGACGACGTTGCTAGTGACGCTAGTGCCCCTCAGCATCGAAGTGCGCTTGCTTTCATACCACGGTATTTGTTTATTGCTATGGCGCTGACTCTGTCTTGTTTTATTACGTCGAGTTCTTAGATGCTGCGTGAGGAGCAGACGAATGAAGTGGTAAAGGAGCTCGTGAGCAAGGGCTTTAGTTACAACCAGATCCAAGGAATGGGCTATATGGTGTCGCAGCCGGACAGTACTCTCGCAGCGCCAGCTGGAGGTGCTACTCAGTAATCTGGCAGCTCTTTCTTGCCATGAGTGAATTCGCGTATAGCTGTGAAGCAGGGCGTAGCGGCATCGTCTTTCAGTCGTGCAGTGCGTCGCATGCTGTACATTCTGCAGTTTTACAACGTTTTTTCACAGAGCCCGACGACATTGGAACTTGGAATTGTCATGTGCCCGTGAGACTTGGATACCTGCGGTTGATGAGCTGGGGGTGGGGTGATTAATTGACGAATTACAGGTTGCTTCCATTCACTGTGTCGACATGCGGAGTAGAACTCTGAATGCTGTTTTTGTAGCTCCGCCTTTAAACGGCGAATGTGCAGCTCACGGCTGCACTTCTAGTCGCTTTTCTTCTTCTGACTTTTGATCATGACCATGCCGATGAACGTAGCAGCGCCACTGAACAGCATCACAAGTAGCACAGCAGGGATACTAATGGCGTAGTGATATGGCAGGAAGACCTGCTGAATAGGGTGGTTCTTGTCAACAAACGGCTGGACCAATAAGGGAAGCAACAAGAAGCAAGAAATGGTGTCAGAGCCAAGGCTTTCTCCAGCCGTTTGACCAGGCGTGGAGGTTATACTGGAAGAGATCATACCGTCAGCAGCACCCAGAAGCTGTAGTAGACGTACGCGGTAGCGCTTAAGGTCAATAGCACAAGACCAGCAGCTTGGTCTGATACGCCCTAGAGCACATACCATGACATGCAGTTCGATTACCCAAGTGCCATAGCGGTCTAGATGTGAAATAGGGAAACCTTCTGGAGCAGCGGACCATGATGTGATGTGCCCTTGCTTCCTTCAGCAGCAGGTCTAATTATTTCTGTACCTAGGAAGTCAAGCTACCTACTTTTGAAAAAAAAGTTAGGATCAAAAATGAGCGCGAGAACACTGTGATCCAAATGTTCCTGTTCAATGATGGCTTTTTAAGTGTCATTGCCTATCATTCAAATTGACCACGGCTACCGCTACGACTACGATTAAACCTTGCAGAATCGACGTACTCATGAATTGGCCTTACGATAATAGGCCATTGTTTGGACTGAAGATAGAACGGTAAACTAGCATGAGGCGTCACATATAAGCTCGCTGTGATATGGTTTGAAAGTTTCTAAGCGGATAGTGCTGTCTATAACTAAATGGTAAAATAAGTTTGGATATTTAATGATCACTCCCTTCTTGCTTGAATATCGTTCCTATTTCTAGGTAAGTAGACACTAACAAATAAGATAGACAAAATTGCCCTAATTAATTAAAAATTAAAATAGAGAATCGATATTTTCATACCTCTTTCTCTTCAATTTATACATTTCCTGTCAAAGACGATATTTGTATCCAAATACCTAATATTTGTTTAATGTAGATTTATATTTACTCTCAAGTCTAGTAATCACCGCGCAAATACAAAAATGATTGATGCAAAATTATTACTATCAAAAATAAAATCTACCAAGCCGTGAATAATTTTAGGGCACATAAATAGAAACTTTTTATCACAGTTCTGGTACAGCAGATACACATGCTACTGTTTTGGCAAGCCATTCCTGAATTGCATTAATAAATACATGTTTGCAGCAGACGAGAGACCGACAGCATACTATTCACGTGATTTGCATCTTACAAGCTTTCGCACTTTTGATGTCGCACGCTATCGCCCACAAATCGAACGCGCAAACATCGAAAGAACCCAATGAGTATGCGTGATTATACATACGTATACTTGCAACTTTCTTATGTAGTGCAAAAAGTGGTCAAAAGAGATCCTGATTATGCGTTTGTTCCGTGGCCCCACCGTGAGTGTAACGGGGCACCCTGAAGCTTGTAATGGTGACAGTACAAGCTACTTATTCTGATGACAGAATAGGGCGGTGCCTCGTAACTTCACGTACACTTGTACGTGTAGAGGAAGACGGTAAGAAGAAGCGAGTACTTGGTTAAAGTAAAAAGTAGAACTGTATTTAGTATAGTTAATGTCTGCAATAAATCACTATTTATCTTCATCTAACTATGTCTAAATACAAATGTAACGGGGCACCCTGAAGCTTGTACTGGTGACAGTACAAGCTACTTATTCTGATAACAGAATAAGGCGGTGCCTCGTAACTTCACGTACACTCGTACGTGCAGAGGAAGACGGTAAGAAGAAGCGAGTACTTGGTTAAAGTAAAAAGTAGAACTGTATTTAGTATAGTTAATGTCTGCAATAAATCACTATTTATCTTCATCTAACTATGTCTAAATACAAATGTGTAAATCAGTTATCTGCTCACCACTCATTGCGTGCGTCTGTCGTGGCGCGTCTTCGTTGGTTGATATAATGGCCTATATCAACCAATTAGGAACTACTTGAAGTGCTACAGAATATTGTCCTTATGACAATATTCTGAGAATATAACTCTTATAGTTATATTCTATTAACAATTTCTTATAAATTGTTATGTAACGATTCACCCCGTTACATCACCCCCCTTAACCATCAGTCACTTTAGTGACTGATTGACTAAATGGATACTCGTCCCAAATCATTTGGGACGGGGTTTGCACTTGTTGGTCCGCGTCCACTTTCCAACATCTCATCGCATGGTAAACAAGCCCATGCGATGCGCGAGCAAGGCCGCCGAGAGCGCGTCTGCACGTCTCTGTGCGGACGCCGAAGCAGAAACTACAGCAACTGATGTCCCATCGGTTGCTGAATCGACTCAGCCTGTATCACCTGGTGATGCAGGCGCTGGTCATGAAGACACTCGTGTCTTCACAGAGTACGAGCTCGGTGTCTCGTACTCTCCTGATACGGATGACGGATCCGTATCGACGGCAATTGAATCCAAGCCGCCTGCCAAGCGTGGCATGGACGATGCTTTGCGTCGCAGCATCTTTGGTTCATCTGATGAGTCAGATGAACCATCGCCGAAGCGAAGGCGCTCGAGGTCGCGAGACTCGGGCGCTAATAGTGGTGTCGTTTCTCCAATGGACACCACTTCACAGCGAGGTGCCAGTACTTCTGTCGGCACTTCGCAGGAAGAGCGGGACCGCAATGTGTTGCGTCTCGCTCCAGAAAAGAAGGCATGGATGCCTCCTAAATCTGTCATGGATCACTTGTCGGCGACGACGAGTGATCGTTATCGAACACGATTGTTCGATTCGTCAGGGATTCATCACCTTGACCCCAGCGCGAAAGACTATCGCGCTGAACATGAGTTCTTCATCGATGCTTTCTTTAGACATCGATGGTACAGTGGGAATCACAAACGTGATGGTCCCTCACTACTTCAGGCGTGGAACGCCTACATCCATAATCTCGAGGATGTAGGTCGTGACGCTTGGAACGACAAACTTATCAAAGCTCGTGATAAGTTTGAAAAGCGAACCCCGACAGGTGCACGCTACAAGCTGCATCGTCTGTCAAGGGAGAAAGGATTACCCTGCCTCTCTTGGGGAGACTCGTGCCCATGTTGTGTGAACAACTCTGCACGAGCACCTAAGGAGGCTTACCTCCTTACCAGCCCGTGGTGGCGCGTACGTGTCTCTACTGAGATGTACGAAGGGATTGACAACCTGAAATCCCTTTACGACCGTGCCGGGAAGACTTTCTCCGGCGGTCCTTCTGCGGCACAGGATGTGTCGCGTCGTACTGCTCGACCAGACCCAGTACGTCAACCATCAATTGGGAGCGGGGCTCCCAAGAATCCCAGGACGGGGGATAGCCGCGCCACCGGACGAGGTAACTCGTCCGACGTCCGTTCACGTCGCGGTGGTTCAACAGCTGCTCTACTAGATAGCGCTGGCCACCGCGAGAGTCCTCTAATGGAGGTGGAGGAGGAGGAAAGACGCTCTCCACACGATCATGTGGATCGGTGTGTTCCCGAGAGCTTCTTTGATCGCGTAACGCAAGGGTTACGCGACGATCTCGAGCATGAGCGGAATAGGCGTCTCCAGATGGTGGACACTGCCTCGAAGCATCGAGCTGAGTTTGCCTTTGCTCAGCTTGAGAACGAGAGATCTCTGACATCTCTTCGTGACGAGCTAAGGGTAGCTCGTGGGATTGTTGATCGGTCTCGGGCTGAGATAACTGCTCTTCAGACCCTTGTTGATGCCCACCATCGGGAGCACAAGGCTCTCTGCGAGATGCTTGAGCGCAAGGGCGTTCTTCATCGGAAGAAGCAGCGTACTGATGGTACGGCTTAAGCCGACCAAACGTAAAACGTGGGATGCGTTCGCATCTTACGTGGTAACTCGATCGTGTATGCATTGCCTAGGCGGTGCAATACACGAAATGGGCCAATGTACTTGGGTAGTAGTTTACTGCTACCCAAGTTAGTCACTACATGTTTTGGTAGATTAACCGTAGACAGTAGGACTAAGTCACCTTTATTAAATAAAAGAGTGTTTGCCCTTCCATTCTTGTCAGCGTTTTGCTTTTGCTTATCCACCGCTTCGGCGATGGAGTCTTGCACAAAACGGACTACCGTTTCACGAGCCAGTATGAACTCATCTGATGACTCGTTAGCTTCAGTGTGCTGTGAGCGCACTGCAGCGACAACAACCTTTTCTTCAGTGAGGGCTTCCGCACTCTCACTGGGATCATTGTCTTCAGTGAGGGCTTCCGCACTCTCACTGGCATCATCTTCTTCGATATCGATGTTATCGATATCGGCATCAAACGCAATGACTTCTTCGTCAGAGCGCGATGAGCGTGAACCAAATCGGTTTTTGCTCGCGCGAGTCCCTCCCCCTTAAACCAGAGTTACACTCTAGTAAGGTGGGTACACGCGGATGGCGCAAGCCATTCACGTAAAACGGTGTATGTGTCGTGGACGCATGCACCGAGTTGTTGATGGCAAACTCTACCATCGGCAAAAACTCACTCCAACTCTTAAAGGAGTGTACGTATCCTCGAAGTATCTCTTCAAGGACACGATTGGCACGTTCCGTCTGACCATCTGACTCTGGATGATCAGATGTTGACATCTTCAAGCGCGTTCCGAGTGATTTGAACACGGAACGCCAGAAATCAGCAGTGAATCGTGGATCTCTGTCTGATACGAGTTCACGGGGCAACCCATGAAGTCGGAAGATGGTGTCAATAAAGACACAAGCACAGCCACTTGCCGTGATTGTCTCTGGTACAGCCACAAGGTGTACCATTTTGCTGAATCTGTCAACAAATACGAGAATACCCGTATTCCCGCGTGCGTCTTTGGGTAACCCGAAGACGAAATCCATTGAGATGGATTCCCAGCACTCAGCCGGAACCGGTAGAGGCTGTAAAGGTGCACGCAGTGAAGGACTTGACTTCACTCGTTGGCAGACTTCGCATGCGCGAACATACTTTCGCACAAACTGATACTGGCGGGGCCAGTAAAAGTCTCGACTTACCGTGAGATATGTTTTCTCTCGGCCACGATGTCCTCCTATAGGAGCATCGTGATACTCGAACATGATCCGCAAACGCAGATCGGTATCATCTGGAATGACAACACGTGGTGTGTCACCAGAAACGGCTGTATAGTACAGTAAACCGTTACGAGTAGTGTATCGATCTGATGCAGATCGATACGCAGACGACAATCGTTTCAACGATTCTCGAGATGGTTGGGAGAGATGTGACAACAACTTCACTATCTCACCATCTTGGGCGTACGCCCGCCTCACATCATCATACAACGTTGTAGATGGAACTGAGGACGTCATAACCGCAACAGTGACTGTCTCACTGTTGGGTTTCGCGACTGTTTCAAAGTCGGGACGACGTGAGAGTGCATCAGCGACGACATTAAG